TGGTGAGCACTGTGAATTGTGCAAGACTGTTGAATCACAGATCTGTACCTCTGAAACAAATAATGCAATATATGTTAAGAAAGAAAAAAAGAAAGAAGAAGAAGAAGAAGATAGCAGGAGGGGAAGAATGAAGGGGGGAAATCAGAGGGGGAGACGAACCACGAGAGACGATGGACTCTGAGAAACAAACTGAGCGTTCTAGAGGGGAGGGGGCTGGGGGGATGTGTTAGCCTGGTGATGGGTATTAAGGAGGGCACATTCTGCATGGAGCACTGGGTGTTGTGCACAAACAGTGAACATGGAACACTACATCAAAAACTAATGATGTAATGGATGGTGATTAACATAACAATAAAAAACTTTTTAAAAAAGGAGATACCAAATTTAGATCAAGAGGAACTTAGTTAAGATAAAAAGAAAGTAAGAAAAATTCCCAGTTAGAAATCCAATGGTAAAATTTAAAGGCTTTTTCCCCTCCTCAATTACAGTATGAGTATTAATAATTTCTATGCCCCAGGGTGCATCTTATCATAATTTTGTATGCTAAAGCCATTAAATATTATAGTATCAGGAAATATTAAAACAAGAAACAAGTGAAGTTTGAAAAAAATATGGTGCTTAAATCGATGTTAAAAATTTGATACATAACAAGCCTCTTTTTGATGCTGGTATATGTAGACAGTGACACAACTTGATCACATGTGAGAATATAAAAATATCTTTAACCAATTCCAAAATGTAGAACTTATCATTCATATTTTCTAATGACTAAGGTATAAAATAATAATTTAAAAAGCAAAGTTTATAAAAACCCTACAGCTCTTTATAATTAACCATGTGGGTAAAACATCATACATATACTTACAATTTTACAAAGCAAGAGAAAAGACCCAAGTTAAAAAAAAAAGACAGATATTAATGATATTGGAATGAATGAGTAACAAAGATAGAACCCAACATTTTTTACCTCAAAACGAAATGTCAAGATAACTAATAAATGAATTTAAAAGTTTTTCGTTCAGCAAGTAACTGGATAAAAGATAAACTTTTGGCAAATCTAATTATGTAGATAGTGAGAAAGTGCAAACAAAAATTACAGTGAGAATGGTAATATAATAACAGATACAAGGGAAAAAAGTTAATGTAGTTATTCTGACAAACTTGAAAGCCCTAATTAATCCCCTGAATGAAAAAAAAAAAAATCCCCTGAATGTTCTAGTTACAAATATGGATTTCTGGTCCTCTCTTCAGACTTTATGAATCAGAATCTCTGGAGGATAACACACAAGAACTGTATTTTTTTTAATTATAATCTTTAATCCCACAGACTCAAGGCGATTTAAAGTAAGTGTGACAGTCACTGACTTGATAAAATGAAATTTTCATTAGGAAAGTATACATCACAAAAACAACTCAAGAGAAAAATTAAAAATCTGAATAAATTAGTGGTTATGAAGAAAAAGAAAGCTGTTTTCCAAGAATTACTTATAAAAATCACATTACAGCCATATGATGTTATAGACTATTTTAAGAAAGAGATAATCCTCCTGTGTTCTCTTTTCTATAGCATACAAAATTTAATCAGTACATTTATCTGATTTCTTTTATAGAGGTAACAGATGAGACTAAAAATTAATTTTAAAAACATGCCACCAAATCTGTAATTAAAATAGATGTGAATCTCTGAATAAAGTTCAAACAAATGAAATCCAAGCAAATACCAAGAAGCCCAATATCGGGCACCTGGGTGGCTCAGTTGGTTAAGCGACTGCCTTTGGCTCAGGTCATGATCCCGGAGTCCTGGGACCGAGTCCCGCATGGGGCTCCCTGCTCAGTAGGGAGTCTCCTTCTCCCCCTGACCCTACTCCCTCTTGTGCTCTCTCTCACTCTCTCTCTCAAATAAATAAAATAAAAAGTTTAAAAATAAAAAATAAAAAGCCCAATATCAATGACTATTTAGTTTATTCTAAGAGTTCACAAATAGATTAATATTGGGAATGCATTCAAATATAAAATAATAAGACAACAGGTTAGCTATCAAAAAGATAAACAGAAATTAAATTTCCAAATTTTAATCAAGTAAATTCCATATATTAATGAATTTATTGTCTAAAAAGAACACCAAGAACTCATTATTTAAAAGGAGTTATAAAAATTTCTAAGTTTACACAAAATAAGGAAAAAGAATAAAAAACAGAGAAAAAAGATTGAAAAATTTGATTACATATAAAATAAAGACTTCTGTACATAAAATACTGCAAATGAAAACAAAAGATAAATAACAAAATGAGTGAAAATATAACACATATGAAAAGTTAATATTCTCAATTTATGAAGAACACAAAATAATAAGAAAATTCCCCAGACCTATATTAAAAAGTTTGTTCAAATAAATACATAAAACTATACTGCCTCATTTGAAATAACAATGAACATTTCAACAATGAATTATTAACTTAACAAATTTCATGACAGTATTATGAAGGGAAAATACATTTTGGGGGGCGGTTATAGACACCCCTGTAAAGTATTTTGACAGGGTGCATAAAACAAACAAAACAGCTTAAATTCTTTGACCCAGTAATACCACAACTAAAAACACATATGAAGTGTGGTAAAAACTTTTAGCACAAAAATGTTCATGTAGGGTATTGGCTAATGGGGAAAAATAAATCATAATATAAGCTTAGTGATACATGAATTATTATGATTATTATATTGATAGGATAGAATATCATACAGCTTTAAAAATATGCCTATTAACATTTTATTGTGAGCAGGGGTTTTAGCAGGCCAGTGGATCTTTTCCCAGCAAAACTGATAAAAATTATAATAAACTATCTAAAGTCTCTGAAAATGGTCCTAAGGATATATGGCAAAAATAATAATAATAATAATAATAATAATTCAAGAAAACGTACCATAAGTTGGTAATAACAGAGAATATCTGTAGTATTTGAATTGAGATCTGCTCCCCAGCATCCCCGTCCAATCCAGTGAGACAGAAACTCTACTCCAGACTGGTGCAGCAGCCAAGAACTAGCTCTTTCTCCCCAGCTCCCAGTCAGAGAGATTATCTTCCTAGAAGGGGCAGGATGTCAGCATTTCTCATCCTGTCGCCAACTACCTGCTGCTGAGGCTAAGTTCCAGGTAGGTGTGGCCAAATGTGATGGCTCCCTTCTTCTGCTCAGCTCCCTAGAGGCTCTACCTTGAGAATATGGGGGCCCTGACTGACTTTGCCCCAGCTCGTAAGCCAATGGTTCCACACCAAGAGACACAAGCTGAGATGATGTGAGGCTACTGCTCATCTCCCATTTCCACTGAGTGCGCAGCTCTTGAAGTAGAGGTATAAGAGAGAGGCACACCACTGTCTCCGCTCCCAGCTCTGGAGCTCTGGTTCAGACATCATGTCTGGGGAAAGAATCAAACAACCTGGGGAAAGACGACCAAAAGAAGCCTGCCTGGGGTCAGAACAAATCTCAAATCTGGACCTCATGGAACTACACCTTAAAGGACCTGAAATATGATTGGACTCATTTGTAGAGCCATTTAGGTCCCTGGAAATTATTGAAACACAATGAAGCAATCAGCCAGAAATCAGTGGAGCTCTACAGCTGGGTGTGGTCAGGGAAAGAGACCATCAAAGTGAGCCCTGCCGATGCAGTGTAGTGTGAGGACTACTTTGGGCACCCACAAAGTGGCAAGTTAAGATGTAAGATGGTAAGTCCTAGAGCAACCGCTAAGGTCACAACTTGGAAAATACAACGAGAAAACTCATTAAAGGATTTAAAACGTAACATTAGAAATTAATGCAAAGGAAAAAGTAAAGGAGGAAGAGAGAAACAAAAACATACAGAACATGAGACCTACAGGAAACAAAAAAGTAAAAGAGTCCATGTAAATATACATATACATATATATATATAACCAAATATATACTATCTACAGGAGACACACTTTAGAAGAAGTACGTATTTATGCTATAATCCTTATAATACAGAGGCAGCATTAGCACCAGATTAAGACCATTCCATTCACATCCTAGCTCAGCGTCTTTCTAACTATGTGACACTGGGGAAGTGTCTTAATCTCTCAATGCCTTAATATCCTCTTCAGTAAATTGAAATAATGCTATCCTCTCCATGTGATAATTACGGTAACTATATATGTCTGTATTTGTAAAGTGCACTGAATAGTGCTTGGCACCTAGTAAGCACTGTCTAAGTTGTTGAATAAACAATTATATAAATATATACACATAAATCATACCAGAATAGATTCAACCTCACCTACTTGTCCCAAACCCCACTTGGCAATCATGCCAACTCTAAGGGACTAGTTGCCCCAGATAAATACAAGGCCAGCTCATAGGGACAGAGGACAACCTGAACGCTTATGCCCCACAAGTAGGTACTCCTCAGATTAGTGCTTTTCTCAGAGCCAACTTCACATCCTTGTTTCTCAATGTGTAGATCAAAGGGTTCAGGGAAGGGGTAACAATATTATTCAATACCTGAACCACAGAATCCAACCAGGGGCTGGAGGCAGGCCAGAGATAAATCACGACCACTGGTCCATAGAAGAGCAGGATGGAAGTCAGGTGCGCACTGCAGGTAGAAGAGGCTCCGCGCCAGCCTTCTGAGGAGCTGATTTTCAATACAGAGATAACAATGCGAGTATAAGAAGCGAGGATAAGAAGAAAACGCCTGAGTGCCACAACACCTACGTTGGTGGAGGAAACTCACCATCTGAGCTAGAGAGGTGTCTGCACGGGCCAGGGACAGCACCACCGGGATATCACAAAAGAAATTGTCCACCTCACTGGGGCCACAGTAGGGTAACTTTTTTTTTTTTTTTAAAGATTTTATTTATTTATTTGAGAGAGAGAATGAGATAGATCATGAGGGTCAGAGGGAGAAGCAGACCCCCCGCCGAGCAGGGAGCCCGATGCGCGACTCGATCCCGGGACTCCAGGATCATGACCTGAGCCGAAGGCAGTCGCTCAACCAACTGAGCCACCCAGGCGCCCCCACAGTAGGGTAACTTAAAGACCAGAAATGTGAGGATACTTCCATGTAGACAACCACCCAACTGAGTGCCCAACGTCAAACCGGTGCACACCCTGGGGTTCCTGATGATGGTGCACCGCAAAGGGTGACAAATAGCCACGAAGCGGTCATAGGCCATCATGGTGTACAGGAAACACTCAGTGCCACCCAGGAAGTGGTAAAAGAAGAGTTGACAGGCACAGCCCTGGTAAGAGATGGTCCGGCTTTGCCCCATGAGGTAGAGCATCATTTTGGGGGAACTCACTGGAGGGAAAAAGATGTCAAACACAGACAGGTTTCCCAGGAAGAAATACATGGGGGTGTGCAGGTTGGAGGAGACCAGAATGGTGAGGAAGATGAGCAGATTTCCCAGTAAGGTGAAGAGATAGAAGGCCAAAAATAAGACAAACAGCATGTTCTCCAGCCCTTCCGTATTGGGAATTCCCAGTAGGGTGAACCCTGTCACAGAAGTGTAGTTCTGCATGTTTGCACATCAGGGCATCCTGGAGAAGTAAAGCAATAATCATGATACAAGACCACAGATGACTGCAAAAATATCTTCTGAGAGAATTATTTCTGAGGCATGGGCTACAAGCAAAAGGAGGCCAAAAAAGGAAAAAGAGATCAACACTACATCTGGCCCTGGAGCTAAGTCATGTGTTACATCTGGCCTGTTTTTTCATGTGTTAAATGAAGTCACTGAGTAATGTATCTTTATAGTTGGCAAACCTCTGGCAGGAATCAACTCTTATTACCAGTTTTATGTAGTTTCTCCCAATCTGATTTACTGTCACACAAACTGGCACATTTCAAAATCATCCTCTCCATGGAAAATTTGTCATCAGGGGGCCATCTTATTTTAATATCAGCTAAGTCATAATCAGTTGGTGGTAAGTAGGCCAACTACCCAAATATATGCATATAAAAATGTGAACCTACATAGAAATGATATGCACTTGCCTACTTATTTTTACCTTCAACAATACTTTTTCCATTCTCCAGTGTTTATGTTCCAGGAAAAAAAGTAGAAAATTCATATTTATAACCTATCCACACACAAACAGAAATTGGACTGAATCTAGAAGGCATTAGGTAATAGAAGATAATAGAAATAACTACTGTATCCCACTAGAAACATATCTCTCTGAAGCTAGACTTTATTTCTATACTACAGAGCTCACAAATCTAAATTTCAATGACACTAATATCATTTAGCTTTATTAATTAGTGTCAGCAGATAAACCTAAAAAAACCCTCAATTATATTTTCAGAAGGACAGTATTTCCTTCTGTTCATTTGTATCCCATTTTATGTTAACCTTCCATATTTGTCATTGGGTATAACTGATTTCCCTCTGTGATCAATATTTGTTCATAAGAAATCATCTGATAAATATATTCATACCAGCTTATAAATTGCTGATCTGTTACTATTTCCTGCATTATCTCCATTTTCACAAGGATAAAGACTTACATCGTGGACAAAAATCTCAATAAGTAAAATTTCTAGCAAGAATAAGGAAGTAGAGAAAATAAGAGCTCTTCAAACCATTCTTGAAATCAATCTATAGAACCACACCCCTATATAAACCTTGTCCTGCTCAAAATGTTTGAATAGATTATGATTCCAGCAAAAATAGGCAGGAAGACAAAAAGACTCTTTTCCAGCCCAAAAAGCAATTTAAACATTGAGTTTAGGTCATGGCAAGCAATTTAAGCTCAAAAACATTCATTTTTTTTAACCAACCTGCTAGAAAAATATAAAGATGAATAAAATGAAGTATTATTCCTCTAAAATCTCACTTAGAGTTATATAAAATTGGTTTATAAACCTGACCCTATCTCTACCATTCACTAACCCTGGGGCCATAAGCAATTTATTTAACATCTTTGGGTTTCATCTTCTGCGAAGGAGTGATGGGTCATAATACTGTCTGCCTCATAAGGTCTTTGTGAGGATTGAATGAGATAATGAACATGAAATGGTTAGCTCAGTGCTTGGCACTTAGTAGTAAATGTCCAGTATTAGTTTAACAACCAACCTTATGCATGTAAGACTGTGATAGTGTGGGTGATATTGTGGTAACAACAAAAGCAGATGTGATAGACATATAATTAGAAATTGATTTGAAAAAGATCTGTGAGATTTGAAAAGGCAGAGAAAGCATAAATATAGTCAACTGATCTTTGAAAAAGAGCAAAGGCAATACAATGGAGAAAAGATGGTCTTCTTAACAAATGTATCTGAAACAATAGGGCGTCCATATGCAAACAAAAACATCTAGACACAAACTTTACACCCTTCACAAAAATTAACTCAAAATGAATCACAGGCATAAATGTGAAATACAAAAGTATAAAATTCCTAGAAGATAACATAGGAGAAAATCTAGATGACCTTGGGTATGGCAATGACCCTTTAGATACAATACTAAAAGCACCATCCATGAAAGAAAAAGTTGATAAGCTGAACTTCATTATAATTTTTAAAAATTCTGCTTTGCAAAAGACAGTCAAGAGAATAAGAAGACAAGCCACAGACTGGGAGACAATATTTTACAAAAGATATATCTGATGGAGGACCATTGTCTAAATTATACAAAGAACTCTTAAAACTCAATAATAAGAAAGCAAAGAGCCCCCAAAAAAATTGGACCAAAGACCTTAACAGACACCTTACCAAAGAAGATGTACAAATGTCAAATAAGCATATGAAAAGATTTTTTACATTATATGTCATCAGGGAAATGCAAATTTAAAAAAACAATGAAATGTTGCTACAAACCTATTAGAATTGGCCAGAATCCAGAACACTGGCAACACCAGATACTGGTGAGAATATGAAGTAATGGGAATTCTCACTCATTTCTGGTGGACATGCAAAATGGTACTTTGGAAGACAGTTTGGAAGCCACTTTGGAAGACAATTTGACAGTTTCTTACAAAACTAAACATACTCTCACCATACAATCCAGCAGTCATGCTCCTTGGTATTTACTCAAAGGAGTGAAAAACTTGCATCTACACAAAACCCTGCACATGGATGTTTATAGAAGCTTTAGTCATAATTGCCAAAACTTGGAAACAACTAAGATGTCCTTCAGTAGGTGCATGAGAAAATAAACCATGGTACATCCAGAAATGGAATATTATCCACCACTAAAAGAAATGAGCTATCAGGCCATGCAAATATATAAAGGAAACTTAAATGCATACTACTAAGCAAAGGAATCCAATCTGAAAGGGCTACATACTGTATAATTTCAACTATATGACATTCTGGAGACAGTAAAAAAAATCAGTGGTTGCCAGGGTTTAAGGGCAGGGGAAGGATGAATAAGTAGAGCACGGATTTTTAGGGCAGTGAAAACACTCTGTGTGATACTAAAATGGTGGACATCTGTCATTATATATTTTCTAAACCCACAGAATGTACAACACTGAGGGTGAACCCTAATATAAACTATGGCTTTGAGTAATTACAATGTGTCAATATAGGTTCATCATTTAACAAAGTACCACCTGGGGGGGAATGTTTGATAATGGGGCAGGATGTACATATGCAGGTGACTGTGGTATATGGGAAATCTCTATTTTCTATTCACTTGTGCTGTGAACCGAAAATTCCTCTATGAAAAAAGTAAGTAAGTACATCTTTCCTTGAGAAATACACTCAGGTTAGGAAAATGTTATTTTCATTAGACCCACAACAGAGCATTAGGTAAATGTACCAGCAGAATGAAAAGATCTCTTTGTAGGCTAGAAGTGCATAATCTCTCCCTTTAATCTGAACCTTTCTGTTTCTGGCTCAGCAACAGAAATTCACAAAAGTGTCTGGTCCAAGCTCTGCCCTAGGCAAAAGTGTAAATTTCACAAATTACCTTAGATCCACTTTCAAAATATTTCTCAGTCCTCTCCTGCAGTCCACACTCAATGACTCATCTCCATCCAAACCTATTCTCAAGAAAGAATGTGGTATCAGTCCAAAAAAAAAGTTTTCTAAGAACAAATGTTGCATGATCATAAAGTCATCTGGAAAAGGACTAAATTTCCATCACAGATTTTCAAGCAGTATCTCTAGGCTCATCTCTTGGGGAAATGAATGAAGGAATTCATTATCCTGCAAAGGAAGGTAAACAACATGTTTTCCTCCAACTGGAAATTATAAATTTTATATTATTAGCTTTTTATAAATTTTGTGTTTCACTATCACCATATTCACTGAAATTTGCATTTTAAGCCTTAGTCTTCAATGAAAGAATTGAAAATATGCCTGTTAAAGGACGTTCTCATATTGTTAAGAAGAGTGGATTGAGGGGCGCCTGGGTGGCTCAGTCGTTAAGCGTCTGCCTTCGGCTCAGGTCATGATCCCAGG